AGCAGTGAGCCTGGGGAAGGAGAGACACTTGGAACATCCCACTTGGCTTGTGTTGCTCTGCAGAGCAAGGGAGGCCAAAAGGGTCTTCCTCCTACCCAGCCCGCTCTGTACATGGGCAAGTGTGTGAAAACAGCCACCTTTTCAGAGAGCCCTGCCCTCCCCGTTTCCTGCTTTTCCCTGCCTCTGGAATGACCTAGGCTGCCAGGGCTCTCCTGCTAGCACTGCTGCAAGGCTGAAGGCAGGAGAGCAAAGCAGAGCTGGGCACAGTGGGCACAGAGGGCAGGACAAGCCCCCTCCCAGCGGGCAGAACCCTGCTGAGCTGGGGCATGTGGAGCTGCCACAAGCTCCAGGGGTGCACAAACATCTCCGGGGCTGCCCCGCAGAGCACAGGCATCCCCATCCACCCAGGGCTCAGCTGGGCACTGCAGCCACAAGGCCTGACTGACAGCTGGCAAAGGAGGTTCTGGCTCACCTGCATTAGATATAACACCATCAAGATGAGCACGAAGACGATGGAAAAGATCATGATGAAGACAAACACCAATATTCCGGTGACTCGGGGGTGGTTGAGCCCTGCATTCTGCTGGGAGAAAAGGAGAGCAAATGAGGAGGGGAGAGAGGCTCGCTCCTCTGACTGCCCCTTGCCCAGGGGGGCACAGGCAGCAGTGCCCAGGAACTCTCCTACCTTTCCTGCAGGCTCCTTGCCCGTCTGCAAGGCTGGGGGCAGACACTGCTGTGTGAGAGACTCCTGCCTCAGGTTGAGCCTCTTTGCCAGCAGCCCAGTCTTGGAGAGCATCCTTGCACAGGGCAGCTGCAGGCCGGGCCGGCTGCACTCCGCGCTCAGGGCTCCTGTCATGCGGGCGATGAACGTCTGCAGGGCCTCATTTGGTGCCCGCCAGTGCAGGTGATGCTCAGCCCTGGCCTCTGCCAGCTCTGCTGGAGCTGGAGCACGGCCTGGGCTGTGGGAGCCTCCTGCCTCCTGGGGAAGCCTGGCCCTTGGCTCTGCTGGTTTCCAGTACTGCCCCAGAGAGGAGCGCTCTTCTTCAGCGCTCTCCTCAGGGTGGCTCTTGAGCCACAGGTCAAAGAAATTCTCCGGCTCTCTGTCCAGACCTTGGCTTTCTCTTGGCCTGGGCTCTTCCTCGCCCCTCACATTGCCAGGCCCCTGGTAGAAAAGGGGGTTGTGTCGCAGCTGAGAGCTGGTGTCCCTCTGCCTGCGCTGGTACACGCGGACAGAGCTCCTTCGGGGACCTGCTGCCTCCTTTGCCCCCTGATGCCTGAAGGCAGTGCTGTTATCGGGGCTGTTTGAGCCACCAGCTATATCCCAGAGGTTTAAGATGGGCAAGTTCAAGCCTGACTCGAGCTGCATTTCCTCTGGGTGGTTTGAGCCACCATCTACATCCCAGAGGTTTAAGACTGGCCAGTTCAAGCCTGATTCGAGCTGCTTTTGCTCCCAGCCTGGGGTTTTCTTTTCCTCCACTACTGGGAACTTCTGCACGTTGTGCCTGGCGGGCGGTGGCTGCTGTGGGATGGCCTTTGCCACGGCCAGGGGTCTTTGAGCATCAGGCTGCTGGCTCTGGAGCTCAGGCACCAGTCGCTCTTCCAAGACAGACGGGTTGCTCCTCAGGGCTCCGGTCCCGCCCATCTTCTGAGCGTCCTGCAGCATCACCAGCAGCTCATTGATGGCTTTGCTGTCCTGGCTGGAGAGGTGTGCAGAGGAATGCCAGTCTGATTGGGGATCTCCCTGGCTGCTGAGATCCCCGTCGGTGCTGTCCTGCTCCCCAGACACTGCAAATGTTACTGATCCGTGTTGTGCTGGGGAAACCTCCTTGGCTGTGAGGTACAACACCGAGCTGCTTCTGAGCTGTCCAGACTGGGCTGCTGCCATTAGTTCTGCCTGTGTCTGGCCCAGAGAACCTGTGGCACAACATCAGGGGAGCAGATCAGCCACTCAGCATCCCCAGCAGCGTTCTGCCCAAACACAGCGGCACAGGTTCCCCCAGGCAGCAGGCACACAGGTGGAGCACAGTCCCAGGCCTGCCAGGCCTCACCTGGGCTGCCTGCACGGGCCTTTGGGCTCCCTGAAAGGCCTCCCAGGGATGAAGTTCCTCGAGAGAGGCCCCCCAGGTTTAGTGTCCCTGGGACAGGCCAGGAGCCGCCAGGCTGGACCAATGCCATGGAGGGGGTCAACGCTGCCTGTGAACCTCCCAAAAGGGGTGAGGGCTGAGGTGCAGTCCCCACGGTCAGGACACCTACCACACTGGGCAGTGCTGGTGCTGCACAGGTTCTCACAGAGGAACTGGATGGTCCTGCACGGGGTCTCGATGGCGCCACGCTCCTTGCAGAGGCAGCAGGACACGGCACGGGGCACTTTGCTAAAGACAAGAGACGATTGCTGGAGAACCTGCCATCCCAATCCAGGACTGCCAGTCCCAGCCGGGACTCAGCACCACCGACTCACAGTGTCTCCAGGTGGGATGTTGTCTGCAGGAACAGGAGCAGCGTCTCTGCAGACACTTGCGTTGCACTCAGGTCCCTGCAAGGATGGGAAAGACCACCCTAAATTCTCAGGAGACATGGCCAGAACTCTGCTCCCAGAACAAGCCCGGGTCCCTGATGATGCTGGTGGTGTTGGCAGAGGGATCCACTTGTTCCCAATCCAACAGAAATGCTTCCAAATCCCACCATGGCCCTGCTTGACCTGCTCCTCCCCATGGGCTCAGAATCAGAAGGGGACCCTGCAGGTCTCCTGGGACCCCGCCGGCCATTCCAAGGCTCGAGACCTGCTCAGCCTCTGGCCCTTTCAAGCTTGTATCCCAACTCCTTGGGTCTTTGCAGCTGGAGACACAGCAGAACTGCTTGGCCTTTGCCTTGCAGTTCTGCTGCTGCTGCTGCTGGGGATATTTTGGCCTCCAGCAGAAAGGGGCTGGGTGAAGAGGGAGATTTGCTCCTGGATCTCTGCTGTGCTGAGAACAGGGCACTGCAGAGAGACAGAGTGCTGGACCAGCCTGGTCCAAACGAGCCAGTGCTTACAGATAGTTGACTGAAGGCAGCTTGAAGAATGCTATGTCAGCAATCACAGCCAGGGGGTTCTGGCTCAGGATCCTGCAAAAACCACAGAGGGCTGTGAGGGGGGTTGGGAAGGACGAGAGCTGGTGGGGCAAAGCTGCTCTGCCCCACTGCCCCTGCTCCCATCTGCCTTTCCACCTTGTGCCACTTACAGCTCCTGCAGAAACTGCATCCCATGCCAGGCCTCGAAAGCGCCACTGGGGATCTGGGTGAGCTGATTCCCAGACAGGTTTCTGGGGACAGACAAGATCACAGAAATGAAGCCTTTCCCTTTGTCTCCCAGCAGGGGAAAGTGTCACTGTTTGAGAAAAGGATCCTGTTCTTCTGAACACAGAAAGGGTCATCAGTGCAAGAAGCCTTCCTTCCAAACACCAGGAGGAAACTCTTCCTACTCACAGATGTTCCAGAAAAGGCAGTGGCTCAAAGGCACGTTCCTCAATGGACTTGATGGCATTGCCAGACAAATCCCTGTTGCAATTCAAACACAAAATGTCACTTGCATTGCAACTGGGGTTTTTCCTCCCCTTTGGCACTGGCAGCATCCGTGTTCCCCAGCTCTGATGTGGCCTGAGCTTGCAGGGCTGTGGAACCCGGGATGAGCCCCCAGCCCCAGGAGGGATAAAGCCCCTTGGCTGAGCAGCAGGGTGGGGCCCACGGGAGGGGGAGGCAGCAGCCCCCTGTGCTTACAGGTGCTTCAGCAGGTACAGCCCTTCCAGGGAATGGCTCTTCACTGCCCGCAGCTTGTTGTCCTTGAGGATTCTGGAATGACACAAACAGCCTTGGTTGCACCAGCTGCTGGCCAGGGGCAACTGGAGTGCTTGTGGACAGGTATCCCACAGCAGCTGTGCTGGAACATCCCTTTGGGGCACTGCAGGGATTGTCCCCACTCATGGCCGCAGCAGGCACCTGCTCCTGGCCAGCTCGGCTCAGCCCAGCTCGGAATTGTCCAGGAAATGGGTTCTGGGGGT